TCTGGTGTGGTGGACTACAGTTCCCATCATCCCCACTATTCTGCCAGAAAACAAGGCTAATACAGTGGGCCTTTCCTATATGTGGGGGATCCATTCCAGACCCCCCCCCATAAAGCAAATAATGCAGGACCTCAAGTCCCATTTGTTTTAATGAGCACACACTCCTGTGTGCACTGCGGACACGCACCCCATTCACTCTACTAGGACTCGCTGTCCGTGTGACCTTGAGTCTGTATATGGCGAGCTCGCGTATGGTGTGGGTGCCCTGTAAATAAACTCTGGAGTTTTGGACCCCATTCCACCACAGTGTTATGGTGATTGTTATGTCAAGATAGACATTTTCCATCCAACCCACTATACCCATTTAACATGTCCATACATTGGTTCTTTTATATTGCCATACAAGACATCTCTCTCATTCAAAGCTAGCATTGGGAGTATTTCAGTACTTTATCCAGACGAACAAAACAGAAAAATTCATTCCCACACGGGAAGGATGACATAAGAAATATCCTCTTGAGCTAAGCCCCCAAAATTCCACAAAAAGGCCAATTCTGGATGTGAGTCCAGTAACTAAGATTAAGATTAAATTATTTGTAAAGGATGATCTGTATAGGATTATTTAAGAGGGCGGAATAGACTCAACAGTTCTTCCAAAGGATAGTGTTTTTCTACTTCTACACATTCATCTGGGAAGTGCAGATCAGTTTAGCTTGCTTTTTGTTGCTATTGTTTATGAACCAGTCTGGGAAGCTGTAGAGACATTTCAGTTTCCCTGAGTGACTTGCACTCCACAGGGAATTTTCCCTCGGTTTTTCCACTTCATGCAAAATCTGTCACTTACTGGCTTGAAATATTTGGCCAGTGTGTTGCCTCCAGCCGAAGCCTCACATGAGGCTCTCCATCTGCCCTTTCCCTCTGTTTGACAGCCATTTATATTCAGGCAAGCAGAATTATTTAGCTGTTATATATAATAAGATGATTGAGAGGCTCAGAGACCCGTATTTTAGCAGGTCAGACACTGCCTTATGAGCAGGCCTACAAGTGGATTCACATGCAAATAACGAAAGGCTGAGTGCAAGAGGAAAGAGGCAGGAGTTGAATTGCTGTTGACACAGCAGAGTCCCACATGTCTGCCTGTCCAGGAGAATAAAGGAGGTGGGAAAGTTTACACAGGCAAGGCAGACTGGAGCATTATTCATACCCATCACCTGTCTCCATTGTATTGAAGCATATCATAATCAGCAACTGCTCAGGCACTCTTGCCAGAGGCAAATGCAAGGAGCAGAGCAATACATTTCAATTCTCCTTTGCATTTGCAACTTTTAATGACAGGTTGGCTGTTATTCCAATCATAGGCTGCAAGCAAAAAATTCTAGCTCCTGTCCTGAGTCACTTTGGTCATTCCCAAGTCTGCCTTACTGTCCTTAAAGTAAGCACAGGTCCAATCTTCACTGCAGAAATAATCCAGTTTGACACCGCTTTAACTACCCTAGCTCAGGGCTAGGGAATCCTGGGAATTGCAGTTTACTGTAGCACCAGAGCTCTCTGACAGATAAGGTGAAATGTTTTGCAAAATGAAAGTTCCCAAAATTCCCTAGCATTGAGTCAGGGCAGTTAAAGCAGTGTCAAACTGGATTATTTCTGCAGTGTGGATTGGACTGTAGGGCTTCAGAGGAATTTGGTGCAAATAGTAATTCCTTTTTGCAATAATGGAGGAGTAACTACTATAACAGTGGCTCAAGTGGTTAAGACACTGACTCTGTTGATTGCAAGATTGGCAGGTTGGCAGTTCAAGGCTTGGGTGCTGCATGATGGGGTGCACTCCTGTCACTAATCCCAGCTTCTGCCAACCTAGCAGTTCAAAAGCATGCAAATGCAAGTACAGTCAGCTCTCCATTTTTTGCAGGGGGTCCGTTCCGGACCCCCCTGCAAAAATGGAGATTCGCCATATTCAAGTCCCATAGGTTTGAATGGGGTGTGTGTGAGCATGCACTCACAGGGGCACACCCCATTGATTCTAATGAAGGTTGCCCCTCTGTGAATATTCAAAACCAAAATCTCAAGTCTGTGAGAACAGAGAGCTAACTGCAGATAAATAGGTACCATTTCAGTGGGAAGGTAAACAGCATTTTGTGCAATCATGCTGGCCACATGATCACAGAGTAGTCTCTGACAGTGCTGGCTCTTCGGCTTAGTAACCAAAATGAGCACTACCTCCTATGGTCAGACATGACTTGACAACCCTGTCAACGGGGAATACCTTTACCTTTACTTTTACCTAACATATATTAAGACTGCAATTTAACATGGGATAATCTTTTACAATAACCGTAATCTTTAGTTACTTTTAGATTTACAAAGTGGTGGCTTCACTGAACAGGAGAGGAGGCTGGCTCATGTCTTATCAACAAGACAGACAGAAAGAGAGTATGTTTTGTGCCATAGGCCTGTACCACATTATTCAGATATTTCAAAGTAACAAAAAGTGATGATTTACTTATTTTTAGAAATGGGAAGATAAAGAATTATTGTTTTAAATTGTAACTATAGGGGTTTAGAACTGTAAAAGTCACTAATTACTCTTTAACATAACTTTCCAAGCTCTAGGCCAGTGATGATGAACCTTTTAGAGACCGAGTGCCCAAACTTGGTGGCATTTCTGCACTGTGTGTCACTGGGTGCTGGGGATGGATGGGACTTCCAGGGGGCGTGACTGCAGGTGAAGTCACAGTTCCAAATCACCCTGCAGAAATAATCTGCCCTAGCTCAGTTCTAGGGAATCCTGGGAATTGTAGTTTATTGTGGCACCAGAGCTCTCTGGCTAAACAGCTCACCAACCTACAAATTCCAGGATCCCATAGCATTCAGCCCTGGCAGTTAAAGTGGTGCCATACTGGATTATTTCTGCAGTGTGGATGCAGCCCTAATACCAGTGGCTGAATATCACTATTTTGTGGATTTTGGATGTTACTGTACTTTGCTATTTGGCCAACAAGAACCAGCATGGTGTAATGGTTTGAATGTTGGACTATGGCTCAGGAGACCAGGGTTCGATTCCTTACTTGGGCAAGAAACCCACTGGGTGACTTTGGGCAGGTCACACTCTCTCAGCTTCAGGGATGTCAATGGCACCCCCTTCTGAACAAATCTTGCTAAGAAAATCTTGTAACAGTTTTGTTGTGTTTGGGACACCAGTGTGGTGTTTCAGTTTGAGTTTGGACTAGACCTTTGGGAGATCAGAGTCCAATTCCCCATGAAACCACAGAAATCCACCAGGTAACCTTGGGCAAATCACACACTCTCAGCCTCAGAAGGCAATGGCAACACCTTCTGAACAAATCTTGCTAAGAAAATCCTGAAACAGTTTGTCATGAGTAGTCCTCTGGGGGATCAGAGCTCAATTCTCTATGAAGCAACAGAAATCCACCAGGTAACCTTGGACAAATCACACTCTCTCAGCCTCAGAAGGCAATGGCAACCCCCTCTGAACAAATCCTGCCAAGAAAACTCTGTGATAGGGTCGTCAGAAGTCGAAAATGACTTGAAAGCACACAACAATAATAAAAAAATGAAAATATAATTATACCTGCTAATTATGTCCCCCACCTGCTGTCAGCTCCCCTTCTTCTTCCTCCTCTATGTCCCCCACCTGCCGCTTCCC